CTATGATGCTGCATCGTGCATCGTGATGCTACGAAGAATCTGCTCCAAGGTCTGGTTCACGCGCTCAGTCTGTCCGTCTGTCTCTGGATGGTACGCAGACGACATGGCTAAGCGAGTCCCAAACAGTGCGAAAAGCTGCTTCCAGAACTTCGAGGTGAATCTAGGGTCGCGGTCGGAAATGATGGAATCCGGAACCCCGTGCAGTCGGACTACGTTATCTACGAACAGCGTCGCGGCTTCCTCTGCTGTGACCTGGCCGTGCGTGGGGATGAAGTGCGCTGCTCGAGAGAACTTGTCCACTACCACAAACATGGCGTCGTGACCCCTAACTGTGCGCGGTAATGCCATGATGAAATCCATGGTAACTACCTGCCAAGGGCGGTCGGGCGGTGGAATCGGCTGCAAAAGTCCTGCTTTGCGCTGGCGAGAGGACTTCGTACGCTGACACGTGTCGCACGAGCGAACGTAATCCTCTACGTCTGCTGCAAGCCCTGGCCAATAGTACGTACGACTAAGCGTCTTAGCTGTCTTATCTGCTCCGAAGTGCCCTGCGCTAACTACATCGTGTGCCTCTGAGAGAAGGAGCTGTCGAAGAGGGCGGTAGGCTGGAACCCAAATCCGTGCTGTGCCCTTCCGTATGTAGACACTACCCTGCACCTCTGCTCCTGCGGGCGGCTGTGCTGTGAAGTCAGGATCTACTGTGTAACCGTGCTCGAAGAGTGCTGTGAGAAGTGGATGGCCGGCAGTGACTGTGAGACTAGCGAGCTGGCAACTAGGGCGAGTGAGCGGATCTGCTGGGTTGCGCACGCCTGGCTTGTACTCTATCCTGTAGTGGAAACTCCCCTCCATGAACTCCATCCATCTAGCCTGGCGACGACTCAGCTGCGGCTGCGACTTGAGAAAGCGAAGCGAACAGTGGTCCGTGCGTATAACACTATCTGCCCCCTCTAGGTAGCACCTCCACACCTTATACGCATGGATGATCGCGAGCGCCTCCTTGTCGTGAATCGGATAGTTCAGCTCTGCTCCCCTCAGCTTACGCGACTCGTACGCGATCGGCTGCAACCCGCGTCCCTGGTCCTGAAGAAGGACTGCACCTATGGCCTGATCTGAAGCGTCGGTCACTACAACGTATGGGCGAGTGGGATCGGGGTACGACAGTGTCGGTGAAGACGTGAGCGACTGCTTCATCTGCTCGAACGCCTGCTGCTGCGCTGGACCCCAAACGTACTCTACGCCCTTCCGAAGTAGGTCGGTGAGTGGACTAGCGATCGATGCGTAACCCTGAACGAAACGACGGTAGTAATTCGCAAAATCGAGGAAGCTCTGCAATTCCTTGACTGAGGTCGGTGCTATCCAATCCGCTGCGATCTTCTTCGGGTCGGTCCTAACGCCACTAGCGGAAACGACGTGACCTAGAAACTCGACCTCGGGGAGGAAGAACTCGCACTTAGACTGCTTCGCGTACAGCTTCTCCCTCCGCAAGACCTCAAAGACCTTCTGCAAGTGCTGCACGTGCTCCTCTTTCGACTTGGAGAAGATCAGGATGTCGTCTAGGTAAACGACAACGAACGAACCTAGGAACTCTGAGAGGACGGTGTTCATGAGCGTTTGGAACGTCGCTATGGCGTTTGTCAGTCCGAACGGTAGAACCCTAAACTCGTACAACCCCTGCTTCGTACGAAACGCCGTCTTGTGCTGGTCCTCTGGAACTACACAGATCTGGTGGTAACCTGAACGAAGGTCGATCTTTGAGAAGACTCTAGCGCCCTGCACTGCATCTAGAAGATCCTCTACTCTCGGCACCGGGAATCTATTCTTGACGGTGGCGGCGTTCAGTGCGCGGTAATCTATGCACATCCGTAACCCCCCGTCCTTCTTAGGCGCGAACAGGATCGGTGCTGCCCAAGGCGATCTAGATGGCTGTATGAACCCCTGCGCGAGAAAGTGCCTAACCTGCTGCGTCATCTCCTCTGTCTCTGCTGGACTCAACCTCCACTGCGGCTTCGCTACTGGCCTGCTCCCCGGCTCCAACTCTATTCGATGGTCTACTGCTCGGCTGGGAGGTAACCCTGGGGGCAACTCGTCGGGGAAGACGTCTGCGAACTCTGCTAACAGTGCACTCACCTCAGCAGGAAGAGTCGCCTTCTCACTAACTGCTGCACTCCCTCCTTTCCCCTCCTCTGCTTCAACCTCCTCAAGGAAATCTGCGAAGATCCGTGCCGCACGCTTCACTAACTGTCGCACACGAACAGCATTAATGATAGCTGTGGATGATGTGGCCCCATCACTCCATTGTGGCAGCTCCCGGAACTCCCGTTCTACCTTGACACTGCAGCTTCCCTGAGCCCAATCGAACTGAGTACTAACCGTGCGTAGCCAATCTCTCCCGAAGATGAAATCGTATCCGTCCAGCGTCGCAGAGTCGAAGTCACGCCTAACTGTGATCGGTCCTAGCACTACGCGCAACTTGCGAATGATTGGCCCTATGTTGAGAGGTGTCCCATCTACCATTCGAGCATCCTTGAAGTTGACTGCGGAATCTGCTTCGAGATGGAGACGACTAACTAGCGATGATGAAACGAACGAGTGGCTAGCTCCGCTATCGACGAGAATCTTAACAGGAACTCCGCGAAGCTTCCCTAGAAGCACGACTGGACGATCAACAGTGTCTACCTCGTTCTCCGTAGATGACTGCTGCGAGGCCGTCTCCTCTACGTTGGTAGACGTGGCGGGTACGGGAACCTCCACACCAGCTAGCGACCCGCTATCTACTGGCGGTTTCCGTTTCCCTGCTGCTGCTCCTTGAACTGTGGGCAGTCCCGCTTCATGTGACCCGGCTTTTTGCAGTAGTAACAGTTCCCCCTAAAACCCGTCCGCTGTGAACCGTCACTGTTAACTGCACCAATCTCCATGGGCGATGGTCCGTCCCTCGATCGAGCGTCGTTGATCGGTCTGCTGTATCCCCTATCGCGATCGTCACGACCCCGTCGGCTTCGTACTGCGTCGACGCGTTCTGCTGCTGCGACTACTGACTCGAAGGTGGACAACCCGTGAATCGCTATGACCTCCGCTATGTCCGGCTTCAACCCTTCGAGGTAGCGATCGCGCATCTCTGCTTCCGTGATGTCGTCTATCTCGTTGCAGATGCTCAAGAACCGTCGTGTGTACTCCTGGACGTTTCCTATCTGTCGGAAATGACGCAGACGCTTCCTAGCAGCTTCGGAGGCGTTCACCAAATCGAACCTACTTTTCAGCGCCGCTTCAAATCCTTCCCATGTCGTCGGAACCGTGGTAACACCCAAAGCTAGACTTCCTAAGCTCGAAGTTGCAGCTGCATGCCCCACGCCCTGCTGATGTCCGTCCGTTTGAGCCCTCCGTACAGCAGTCTGCGTAAGTTGGCGCCACCACTCCAAGGCCGGGCCCCTCAGCAGCGTCACCGCGTACTCGATCCGCTGCTGCGCGTCCGCCTCTTGCACCCCGCTCGCGGCGAAGTAGTTGTTGAGCATGAAGAGCCACGTCCGCACGTTCGGGACGCGTTGACTTGGGTCGCGCGACTCCGGTTTCTGCGGCTTGAGCGCGCTTCGACGTTCCGGCAGCGCTTCCGCGCCAGTCGACGTGGTGGGTGCAGGAGTTGGTGCGGCATGACCATGGGGGTTAGAAGCCAATTCACGAAGCTGTTGCATTTCAGCTCGTACATGACGGTTTTCCAACGTCAACTCTTGAAGTTGGCGCATGAGTTCGGCAAGCGTGTTGCCCATGTCGTGGGGGAGAGCGTGCATGGTTTCGTCCATGTTCGCTCGACGACTCCAAGTCTGCAAGTCGGCACCGCGGGACGATGACGTCGTAGTCTCGTCGTCGACGGCCGCTCGTTGGAAGTCGCTCCCCGCGAAGGCTCTGATACCAAGTGTTAGGCCCGACGGCCTAAGTCCGCTAACGAATAGCGCAGTCGACTAAGTCGAGGATGAAACGCGGCGGAAGACTTTGGCGAAAGATCTATTAGCGAAAGAGGCGAAGGAGTTACTGAGTAATTGAAGAAGAGTTGAATGAGAATTGGTTGATAATGCCAAGTACAAGCAAGGTTTATATAGCGTGCAAGAAACAAGGTTGGAAAGTGGATTGTGGGACCAAGAATTGGAGTGCAAGAAAAGTAGAGTGCCACGTGGCACTAGGAAATCTAGGAAGATAAGATGAGGCTGACTTGGAATGTACTGTTCGGAATGAACAGTAAACACCCCTCTAACAGTTTGGTTGGCATTAATTGGGTGTAGATTGATGGCATGTAGGGTTTCGCAGGATGTTGTAGGAAGTTGTTCTGATGGTTCGCGTGATCATGTGATTGGTTGGAATATTTGACCAGTCACGTTTGATTGCCCCGAATCACTGATACACCTAACCACCGCTATTTTCTTTCGGTCTATCTTCAACCCCCACGTGTGCAAAGGGGTAGGCACCCTTCAAAACGTTTTTGACCGAGGGTTGTGTCGGACGTCATACGCTCTACGCAGAGTTAGTTCCTGACTCCTGAAAGCTACGCAATGGGATGCGCAACAACAAGCAGACTCCACACGAGCCGAAATTGTCTTACACTCGCCCGATTGAAATCTCCATTTGATGTCATTCATAGTCCCCTATAACGAGGTTTCTAACAGAAAACCCCAAAAGCTGGGCAGGGATTACATGAAAATCGGGAACAGTGCCAAGGTCAGAAGTTGAAAATAGCGGTGGCTAGGTGTACCCCGCATGGTGCGGGGCCTCGAGGCCGCATGGTGCGGGGGTTCAGAAAATGGGCACTTTGCTAGGGAAACTGGGCCGGGTGTAGATTCCGGCAGTTGAAAACGCCTGCAAAAAGGGGTGTTTGGTTGGCATTCCATTATTGTTAGGTTCGGCGTGTATCGGGTCGTGGGATTGGCGGGGACTTGGTGTATACGCGTTGGAGTGGTGCGCGGTAAGGAAAAGAAGAGTTCCTTACACCCCCCGTACTTACAACACAATTGCAAATGCTGGATTGGGGGAGCCACCACGACGCCCCAAACCAAACCGACACGTTTGCGGTGCTCTCCATGGAACCTCCCCGCCATGTCGTGCGCCACGGCGCCCGGATCAATGGCTCCGGCCGCGATGACAATGTCGAGGTCGCTCCGCGCGACCCGATCTACCTCGATTACAACGCGACCACTCCCATCGGTGCGACTCGGGCAGCTTAAAGTGCCCATGTCGGCACCAGTAGTCGGTGTGTCCGCACTCACCATTTTGCATCGCCCACTCGCCATTCTGTTCCTGGCCTCCCTCCCCCCGGGCCCTCCATGAGAACCCCTTCTTCCCGCCTCTTCTCCCATCCCACGTCCCCGTTTCTCCCTCCGCGGTGGCGCGCAGACCCCGCGGTGGCGGAGGAGATGATTCCCGTGCTGCGCGCGGAGTTCGGCAACCCGTCCAGCGCGCACGCGCTCGGGCGGAGGGCCAACGCGGTTGTGGAGGGCGCGCGGGCGCGCGTGGCGCAGCTGCTCAACTGCTCGCCGGACGAGGTACGGACCAGCGCGGGTGGTTGCGGGTTGGGGATGTTATAACGCGTATGGCTTGTAGCATGAGGCATGAGTTGCGGAGGCGTGTAATCAATGCAGTTGCGCTACATGATGCGCTGTTGATCCCTCCACTGCACTGTGCTGAACCATGCTGTGTGCGCGGGCAGTGCAGGTGGTGTTCACGAGTGGAGGCACGGAGTCCAACAACTGGGCCATCAAAGGCGCAGTCGCCGCCTATGCCACCCACTCTGCTGCCACCACTGCTCCCACTGCTACTGCTGCAGCCGTGGCGGCGCCACACGTGGTGATATCGGCGGTGGAGCATCCAGCAGTGACGGAGGTGGCGGAGCATGTGAGGGCGGTGGAGGGCTGTGAGGTGACGGTGGTGCCGGTGGACGCACACGGCATGGTGAGCGTGCACCACGTCATGGCTGCACTGCGCGCCACCACCGCCATCATCTCCATCAGTACGCTCTGCTCCTCGGCTCTCCTCGCTCCCCATCGTTTCACCTCAACAGTTCGCTCGCTCTCCTCGTCCCTCCATCCCATCCGTGTCCCGTCGCTGTCTCCTCCTTTCTTGTTCTTCTCACAAGCAGCCGTGGCTGCACTGCAGCCCCTACCGGTCCTTGCTCTTCACAGTTGCCCGGTCGCTTCCACACTCAACCCATCGTTACGACTCACCACTGCTGCTCCACTCATACCATTGTTCAAGCCACTGCTGCTGCTGCTCCTTACGCAGCTAAACACCCCTCACGTCCACCCTTTGATTGCCGCCTTGTGCCTGGCCGCAATGTCCATTGTTGGCAGTGCTGGCGAACAACGAGGTGGGGTCGCTGCAGCCCATTGCAGGCATCGCTGCTGCCCTCACAAACCACAAAGCAGCCATGGCAGCACAAGCCCTGCAAGAGGTAGCAGAAGCAGGATCGGACGGAGCAACAGCAGCAGCGGCGGCGGCAGCAGTGTTTCCATACCTGCACACGGACGCCAGCCAGGCCGTGGGGAAGGTCCCCGTGGACTTTGCTGCTCTCGGTGTCGACCTGCTCACTGTTGCCGCACACAAGGTAGTGCCTGCCTGCCTCTCAAACCACTCCTGCTCTTTTGTACTAATATTCTGCATGGCCCCCCAGAAGGGTGCGGGTGCTCCCACCCACGGCATGGTTGTGGTGCTGTGAGGCAGCTGCTAACGCCCATTGGTCCCATCCCACCATGGGCTTGTCAAACTCACCAATTCTGCCCTCATGTGCTCTTCTCCTCTCCTCCCCAACTCCCACCGAGTGCTCCTCTCCCCCCTCTACTCCCCCCCTCGGCCTGCAGCTGTATGGACCTAAGGGCGTGGGAGCATTGGTGGTGCGGCGGGGGGTGCACCTTCCAAAGCTGATGCACGGGGCAGGCCATGAGCAGGGCAGGCGTGCAGGCACAGAGAGCACCGTGCTGCTCGCAGGACTGGGGAAGGTGGGGCGTCAGGGAGAGGTTGCGATGCGAGGGAGGATGAATGGGAGGGGCTATCAATGCGAGGACGAACAAGGGGAAGGGAAAGGGGTGTTTACGAGTGGGGCATTGAGAGGCGAAAAAGCTATGGGCATTCCTTACATCAGTGTGCAGTGCACATGCTTTGTGAGTGAGAGGAACATAGTGGGGGCGGGAGGAAACATCTAGAAGCATATTTGCTGCCTGGTTCCACTGCAGTGACATGTGCAATCCGCCCCCGTCCATCCCCTTGTAACACTTTGCCCGCCAGGCATGTGAGTTGGCGCGCACTGCTCTCCCTGCGGACACAGCACACAGCGAGCGCATGCGCAGCCGGTTGCTACAGGGCCTGGCACGGCGCCTCTGCCTTGTGACGCCACAGGCACACGCAGGGGAGAGCGAGGGCCAGACGGGATCAGGGATGCAGAGCAATGACGATGCTGCAGCTGCTGCTGTTGCCAGGGGTGATGGGGAAGGTGACGGGGACAGGGTTCGCTTTAGAGTGAATGGGCCGTGTGACCCAAGCCTGCGCCTGCCCAACACTCTCAGGTCAGCCTCCCTCTTCCTGCACCCAATCTCCCTTGGTTCCATTCTTCCCGTCAGCACTCTCTGATGCAGCAGCTTTCCTGTTGACTGCCTGTAGTGTGTTGTGTGCGTTCTTGTGATACCAAGCACTGCACCCTAGCTCCTCCATGTCACTGCAGCACCAGCCTTTGCTTGCTACTACATACCGTACCTTGCCTTCCACCTAGTTTCTGTGCCTGCATTCATCTTCCAGCTATTGTCATGACGCACACTCTCTCTAGCTTTCGGATCTTCACTCTAACCATCTCCTGTTCTCCGCTCCTCACCCTTCCCTCCCTCCACGCACTCCCTACCTTGTTATACCGCCCGGCACACAGCCTCTCCTTCGAGGGTCTACACGGCCCCACCCTCATGGCGCGTCTCCTCCCCCGAGTCGCATGCAGCGCCGGTGCTGCCTGCCATTCCTCCCCCGCTCCTCCCTCCGCTCCCTGCCCCTCCTCGTCTGCCTCTTCCCCGTCCGTCAAGCCAGCAGCATCAGCGCCGTGTGTGAAGGGATCGTCAGTGCTGGAGGCGATGGGGGTGGATGGCAGGTATGCCGGGTGCACAGTGAGAGTGAGTGTGGGGCGCTGGACCACGGAGCAGGAGGTAGATGCTGCAGCAGAGATCATTGCGGTTGCTGTCATGCAACTCCACAAGGAGCAGCAGCAGGTGCAGCAGCAGGTGCAGCAGCAGCAGCAGCAGCAGCAGCAGCAGCAGCAGCAGCAGCAGCAGCAGCAGCAGCAGGTGCAGTTTCAGTATTAACAGTGCACGGTATCAGGGCCTTACAAGATGGCTGTGTTCCCAAGTGACCCTCTCAGGTTGTGCTTGTGTGTCAGGTTCCCAAAACCTGACACACACACACACCAAACACACACACACACACGCACACACACACGCACACACACACGCACACACACACACACGCACACACACGCGTGCGCACACACACACACACGGAGGCACGCATGCACAGACGCGCGCGCGCGAGCACACAGAGACATACACACACATGCCCCCCCCCCCCCCCCCCCCCCCCCCCCCACACACACACACGTGCGCGCACACACGCACATACACGCAATCGCGCATGCGTCCGTTCATACAAAATATAGGTAGCAAAATTGTCTTACCGGTACCCTAATTCTCAATACCGGTACAGTGTACTCTACGTGTGGTTTTGACTTTAGGGAACATTCCTGAAGCGCGTCACAAAAGCCTCTCGTCTCAAATAACTAGATACAGGTAAATGTTCGATTCTTGGGTGTAATGCGGTGCAGAACGATACGTAGGTTTTATGACGGGATTGAGACACTTGTGTCCCCACAGGAATGTTCCCTTCCCGTGCAACTTGGTACGTAATTGAGCTAGAGACTTTGTTGGGCTGAGATAAAGCTTGGGTCTCGAATCACTGTACTGAATATATTACATTGATACAGGATCCAGGGCACTGAAAAACTCTACTGTGTGCATGCATTATGGAGGCTTCACAAAAGATCAGGCTCGGCCCGACAACCTCGCCTCCCGATCATAATCAGCATCACCATCGAGCTTGACAACCCCCAACCAGCACCTAGGATCCAAGATACAAGGTCCCTCTCTGTATTACAGCCACGCTTCAGTAGTAATACTCACAACCTCTTTACCGTATTAACTTCCGCACTCTACTTATACCTGCAACTCGTAACAGGGTATATCCAGGGGATTCTGCTATGCTCAACAGAAGTGACATTTCACTATCTTATAACACATTGTAACAAAACAAAACAAAACCTATCAAAACAGACAAATTAGCCTGAATGATGTATGAGCCCTTGCTGAGCTGCATACAATCGAGCAATTCCTTGACTACCATCTGAGTCCCAAAACTGTCTATCTAACAAAGCTGCAAATTTGCAGCAGCTGAAGTGGTGGCGCGGGTGTTTGTCTGAGAGGAGGGGTGGTAGAGGGGGCCGGTGTAGGTGCTGGCCCACGTGGCAGCATCGGCATAGCCACTGTTGAAGAGCCCGTCCCACACGTCATCCTCTGCGGGCTCCAGAGCCCAGGAGAGAAACTGCCAGGGGAGACAGGGAACACAAGGACGAAGGACCGCTGTGTGAAGCCTGGTTTTCAGATGAAGAGATCTGGGATGTCCAAGGAAATGATGGTGAGGAATATGCGGCAGTTGATTGGGGCAGGCATACCTGTCTCATGGTCCAGTCGTTGTTGAGCGTATTCATGTCAGGGTTAATGTCAGTTCCCGTCAGCCCATAGCCACTCGCTGGGAAGGCACACACACGCACCTGCACAAGAGAGAGCGAGAGAGAGAGAGAGAGAGAGAGAGAGAGAGAGAGAGAGAGAGAGAGAGAGAGAGAGAGAGAGAGAGAGAGAGAGAGAGAGAGAGAGATTTGGCACGAGCGATTACAAGCAGCACAGGCGAAGAATGTTGGGAATGATGGAAGCACTGAGATACTTCGTAGCACGTATACCACAAGCAGGTACGTACGGTGTGCTCGCTGAAAGTGGGCGGGATGAAGTGCGAAATGCCACCATCCACGCACGTGCGGTTGCGGAAGGAAGTGGTCGCCCGGGGTTCCAAGTACCTGCACACACCCACCAACGCAACCACATGCTCCGTCAGCCCTGCCATCACTCACTGTGCACTCTGCACCAGCAGTTCGTCCCACGACGCATGGCAGAATATATCCCACCCATCCCACCCCGCCCCCTGTGCGCCCGTGGCGTGCGCGGTGGTGGCTTGCTCACCCGGGCACGAAGGAGGAGGCCATGAGCGCGTTGATGAGGTCCTCCTTCGACTCGAACGCGTCCACCAGCCACCCGCGCGGCGACCCAAACACCTGCGTGATCGCCACTGCACCACAGGGGCGTGGGGATAGGCGCGGAGGCCGGACGGGGTCGACGTTAGTGATCAGAAGCGGATGAAAAGGTGTGTGGATGCATGGGGCAGGCGGGGGGAAGTGTTCTGTCTCCGAGGCTTGCTCTGGGAGTGCTTGTTTCTAGAGACGGAGGCAGAAGGGAAGGCGGGATTACCTCGGATGCGACCGGAGCACTTGATGTGCGCATCGTCGGGGAGAATGCGGTTCAGCACTCCTCGCAGCAGCACCTGCACTCACGGGTGGAAACGGCGCGCATGGATCAGAACGAGGCGCGGCTTCAGAAAGGACGAGAGGGAAACGGACAGACAGAAACTGCATTAGTGCAGCAGAACATGTATTTCGCCGAGTGGGAGAGTGGATATGGCCGGCAGCGTGGGTACTGACCCCGATGCGGAACGCGGTGCCGTTCTTGCGGCAGTCGGCGGCGACGAGCTTGGCGAGCGGGATCAGGCTGCGCGGCTCCACGCCCGTCGCCACCACCGCGCTCACGAGCGCGCCCGCTGACGCGCCCGCTAGAGGGGTCGACTCCTGCGCGCGGGGAGCGAGACAGACGGGTTGACGGCAAGGGATAGGTAGGCCAGATGAGACAAGGCACGGGGGGAAAGAGCGGGTGAACACAAACACGCAACAGCACTGCGGATTGCGCAGCAGATACCACTGCCAGTGCCGCGGTGAGTGCGGCGTCCTACCGTGATGTAGCCGTGGTCTAGCAAGTACTGTGCCACGCCCAGGTGGTACGGGAACAGCAGCCCCGCGGCCGAGAACGAGAACCCGGGCTCGCCCAGCGAGTCGCGCCGCCGGTCTTCCGCGTCCACGTCCATCTGCCGCTGCGCCCACACCATGTGCGGGTCCAGCCCGTCCGCCACCACGTGCGCCACGCGCGCACCCCGCCCGTCCCCCTCAGTCACCCCTTTTCGAAACGCCGCCACCGCCGCTCGCTCCGCGGCCTCCTCCGCCGAGCTGTCGTCCCCCTCACTCCCCGTCTCCTCTCCGCACCCGGCCGCGCGCGGATTAGCGGGCGCGCGGAGGCCGCCCCACGTGCCACTCAGTTTCCGTATGAGCGACGCTGGGGACAGATCGCGACGGGTGCGCGTACTTGTCGTTCCTTTAGCAGCGGCGGCGGCGGCGGCGGCGACGGCGGCGGCGGCGGCGGCTGTGGCGGCAATAGCGGCGGCGGAATTGGAGTCGTTGGCGGTGTGCACTGCTGTGACGGCGAGCGGCCATCGCGCGCCGAGACAGGCGAAGAGGTGATCGCGAGCCGTGGACTTGAACTGCCACCAGTCGGACACGAGCACAGAGTAGTTGACGAGGAACGACACCAGCAGCGACGACGTCAGCCGCGCAGAGCCGTTCAGCATGGGTGCGGTGAGTGGCTCGGCAGCAGCTGCCGCCTGCGAGTGAGCGATGCTGCTGGCGCGATGGGAGTTGCTTTCGACGGTCGCGACGACGGGAATCGGGCAAGGGACTATTGCAGGGAGGGGCAGGGTGTTTAGGCCCAGAAGACTCTCGCTGCTGCCACTACTGTCGCCCCCACTGCTGCCTTTACCATCCCTACTTCCCTCGCTCGCTCGCCGTCTGCCTTTTATGAAGTGTCTGAGGGCTTTAAGTGGGCGTATGTGGCGGGAGAGCTGTGCGGCCATGTACTCGAGAGCCGCCATTGTGACGGTGGTTGCGCGCACATCGGCGGGTGGCGCTGCTGGGAGAGACGCAACGGAAGGCGGGCAGAGCGCCGCATTTTGGTGGTAGATGGAGGAGCTGAGCGCGCGGGCATTCATGGAGGCCTTCTGCGCGGACTGGAGGAAGTACGAGGCGAAGGACGATGGAGCTCTTGCGATGCACTCCATGGCGGAGATCGCGAACAGACTATGGGATGATTCTTGGTGCCTGGTCACTAACGGTCACGTAGAAACGACCTAATGGTCAGAATGAAAAGGCATACGAAGGAAGCGAAGCTATTTAGAGCTTCAAGCTTCAGCGTCTACGGTAGAGCCTGCTGTGGGGTTGGATTGGGAGTTAGTGGTGAAGTTGGAGCTCGGATCAGGCCGAGATATCTGACTCGACAATGTAGCCGTGACCAGCGCGGTCCAGTGCCTATGCACACACAGGGAGCCAGCTTGGCTGGTCGAGAAAGAACAGAGCAAAGCACACAAATGTGGAAGGATTTCGGTGTTTGTCGTGACGCAATGTTCGCTTCCTCCAATCCCAATGGGCCCACGCGCTTTGCACCCAACTCCTTCCGAGCCGCGCCCGATTTGGGCGCCAATCTGGGTGCATGTCAACTGCATGGGAATGGAGGAGGGGAGGCTTCCTTGGGCTTGGAGGGAAATATGATTGGCTGGGGAGTAGGGACAAGTGCCACCGCAGCAAAGGAAAGGGTGGGAAAAGCGTCCAACGATCCGCGCGACGCGGACCTTGCACCAGGCTACATGGGGACTCGTTTGATTTGATAGGTGGAGAAGTGATTGCGGTGCGGGCAGACGAACTACGTCTTTTTCCGTCCCCTCTAACCTTCCAGAGAACTAGCCAGGTTTGGGGACATCATGATTGGGTTATCCAAGACAGCCGGACCAATCCCCACACGGAAAGCCCAAACCACATTTGAAAACGGGCCCCAGACCAAAAATCGAGAGACCATACCAGAAGCTTGGTTGAAGACAAGAAGCGGAGGACGGAGCCAGACTGCCAGGCACCGAGGGCGCCGCTCGGTGGGAGGGGCAAACACAAAGGTCTTGCAGCCGAGGTCTACGGTGCTACATAGGCCCCCTAGGCGATGGCGGTGGGGGGCAGACATGCGCATTGGCCACGCTGAAACCAGTCGGTGAAGCAAACGCTTCACTGTAGCAATGGTCGAAAGCTTCGTGAGGGTCGCAATACGGGGTATAATATGGAAGAAATACCGTATCCCCCCGGATAGTAGCGCATATGCGCTTATAATAAAATCGATTTTTTTAGGGGGTGCGCTTATAATTGAGGAAATTGGGGCATAAGCGCATGCGCTTAAGAAATGGAAAAAAAAAATGTTTTTACGGGTACCAAATCGAAGCTCTCATTAAGGCGAACACGCCTGTAAAACGTTCATGTCGGTTTCGTGCATGAAATGCAGGCGAAAACAGCTGCGACTCGATTTCCTACCGCACAAATCCTGTCCCGGAGCAACGCATCTGCCAACGCTGACTCGGAAGCTGCTCTGCGGCCTAATCCCGTTCGCATGCGTTGCCAGGCAGGGACAGCTCATCCGATCCCTCTATAAGGGATCGAATATGCCATGCCACCGCAGCATGTGTGCCGCCCATTTCCCTCCTCTGCGAGTTCAGGCAGTAGGGGTACCCATCTGTCATTGACGAGGACGGCGAGCCACTTCCCCGCAGGGGTCCCGTCCGAAGCCCATTTCTTCTCATTTCTTGCTTGCCTTGATTCAGTTTAGCATGTTTCGCCCGCCAGGCTGCGGAAGCCATCGCGGAATTCACTGGCACCCACTTCCTTCTTAAGAAGAAACCTAGGCCCGCGTATCGTGTCGATGCTGATGGCTGGTATACCCGTATCCCACCATCGCCCCCAGAGCCACCACAGCCTCCTGCGCCGCCGGCGCCTCCATCTCCTCCATGACCTCCTACACCTCCAGCTCCACCTGCTCCTCCAAGTCCCCCCGTGTTTGCAGGCCCATCGAATCCTCCTGTGCTGACGCTCCTGCGCCCGTCGGCGTTCGACGAGTACCTGTCTGAACCTGACAGCAACAAGCCCCCCGACGTCAATGTTCGAGCTCCGCCGCCCGCACCACGATGGGGCCAGCCGCAAGATTGTGCATGGGACGAATCTGGTGTGGGCGCTGACGACGATGTGCCCGACACGGAGGCTGGCACCGATGCCGGCACCGACACTGGAACCGACACTGGCGCCGAGGCCGGCACCGCGGCAGATGTGTATCCTGAGGGTGCCCCGGGCAGCGAGGACGACGACGGTGTGGAGTATTGGTCGCGCGACGGACTTCCCGAGAAGCTTCCAATTCCTTCGTTTCCTCCTGTTAACTGCAAGCGCCCCCACCCCTCTTCTGAGAACCGTGATGCCCGCCCCCCCTCTCCCAGGCACAAGCCCTCCCAGCATAAGCGTAACGCTTATACCGCGCAGGAGAAGCTGCAGTGGATTGGGCACATGGATGTGGCTGTGTCGCTGCGGTCGTTGTCTCGCGAGTCTGGAATCCACCGCAAATGTCTGGTGGAGTGGAAGAAAGCCGCCGACATGCTCAAGGAAGCGCACTCAGCACGGAAGCGGATGCACGGGCGTGGGAGGGCATCGTGGTACAGGCCGATGGAGCTGAAAGTCTACGCGAAGCTTCTCGAGTGGCGCCGCAAAGGAACGGCCGTCTCCGTCGGTCGCCTGCAGGAGTGGTCCAAGGAGTTCATGAAGGTTCTGTTTTCCGACGTAAAGTGTAAGGGCAGCCAGCGGTGGTCGGAGCGGTTTCGGAAGAGGTGGAACCTGAGCGTGCGCATGAAGACGAGGATTGCTCAGAAAATCGTCGAGCGTAAGATTGAAATCTTTCTGTACCGTGTGCTTGTTCTGATTTTCAATCAATGGTACTGACTAACCGCTGTCTCTTAACACTGTCTGTATGCGTAGATGTCGCGGAGCTATGCCGGGCTTTCTGGCAGTACGTTCGAGACAAGCGGCGTGAGCGCGGCATCGAAACCCGCTACATCATCAACGCCGACCAGACGCCGCTGTGGCTGGAGATGCCCGCCACGACTACTGTGGACGAGACGGGCGTTCGCTCATTGCCCATCAGGAGCGGGGGGTACCAGAAGGAACGCGTGACCGTGATGCTGGCGTGCACGGCCGACGGCGAAAAAGCTCAAGCCGTGGGTCTTTTTCAAGCGGAAGACGGTGTCGAAGGGTGACTTCCCGCCCGGTAAGAATCCACGGTGGTTCCTAGTGTTTGGTTTTCCTGTCGTCAATACTAACGCCTGTTTTTTACTGTCTGTAATATCCCAGATGTCGTCGTGGCGGTGCACCCGAACGGCTGGATGGACGCTGAGGGCGTCATACGCTGGCTCGAGGAGTGCGTCAAGACCTTCATCCGGCCTCGGTTCGGCAGGCAGGCGAGGAGCGCCATGGTCGTCCTCGACTCTTACCGCGGACATCTCACGGACTACGTGAAGCAGAAGTTCGTCGACCTCGACATCGTTCCGGCGGTGATTCCATCGGGCTGTACGGCGGAAGTACAGCCTCTTGACGTCGCCATCAACAAGTCCTTCAAAGCTTCTATCCGCCAGCAGTACCAGAACTGGTTTGAAGAGGAGGCCCAGGAGCGCCTGACGCCTGCAGGTAAGAACTTCACCATTGATGGTTAGAGAGCTGGTTCCTTTCCGCCCGTATTTGGTTCTAACACCATCCCCCCACTCTGACTTGTGGTGCAGGGAACATCAAGAAGCCGCCCCCTGCGGTTGTGCTCAGGTGGATCTCACGGGCCTGGAAGGCCGTGCCACCTGAGCTTATCAAGAAGGCGTTCCTCACCTGCGGCATCAGCAACGCGCTTGACGGCAGTGAGGACAACCTTGCCATGGCGCACAGGCGGAGCCAGCTGACCCACGAGGTCGACGTCGATGACGAGATCATCGCCAACGGCTTCTTCGGCAACAACTGAGAGGAGCCGGAGTCTGACGACGAGTAGATTTTTAGTTAGGAATGTACGGAAATCTTAATGTGAAATGAGATTATTGGTAGAGGCTTTTGTAGACGTGATGTTAGTGTTGGTTAAAATGTTTAGATATAAAAAATAGAGGAAAGATTGCCCCCTGGGGGGGGAAGGGATGCGCTTATAAAAAGTACAGGCATTCTAGGGGGTGCGCTTATAATTGAGGACCGGCCATAAGCGCATGGCTCCAGATAGAAGCGCCGGCGCCTGTAACCAGGCGGCGCTACTATCCGGAGCGATACGGTAATTGTTTGTGTCTAATGGTGCTACAAAAGAATGCACAAGAATCTCTTATAATAATAAAAAAACCCTGGGCAATTAAAAAAGTGGGTTTGGCCTGTTTTTCGTCAAGGAAATGGTCAACACTTCTTTCGCGAAGGCCGACACTATGGCCGAATAAGAGTCGACCAATGAATAGCCACCATTTACAGGTACTTGCAAAGTTTACAACTTTGCTGGTCGATTTGCAAACTAGAAAATTGTAAACTCTAACATTGGCCAAATTGTGCTAAGAAGTTGCACGCAAGTACCCCCTATTGGGAAAATGACCGACTTCAAGCAGGAACGGAGTCTATAAGGATAACGCGACTCCGTTTACATACCGAATTCTCCCGGACAAAACATCCCCCCATGATAGAGCACCCCTGGGTAGCTTGTGCGGGGTGGGTGCTATGGGCGACCTCGATTTCACTATACCCCCCTTTTTGGATGATTTTTTATAACACCCCCCTTTTCTTACTGATTCTATATTATAACTGTTAACGAATAGGTGCAAATAAGGGAGCATATCGAGAATATCCCTCGCTCGATGAAATTTTCCGGTTCTTTCACATCAAATCTGCCGAGATTCCCCCCCGCCCACTATTTCGCTATCGCCACGTGCTGGCGAATCTTCCGCTGCAGGTGGCCAGAGAGGTGCCAAATGACATTTTCGAGGGAGTGATGACGTTCGCGTCGAAACTGACATTTGCGCCTCAACATGTGATGTTAAAAAGCCCATGGAAACACTCAGCTTCTCTAATATAAAAAACTCCAACACTAAAATATACCATATATATGCACCCGGGTATTATGTAGCTTTTTCCTATGAGAAGACACCCCCCTTTTTTTTCCTGTATTTTTAGATCTACCCTAGGGTGTTATGTCCGGGAGAATACGGTACGACTCGGTGGCTTATGTTTAGCCACGAGCCATTTCTGTGACAAAATTACAGCATTCAACCGAATTTGCATATCCTTGCAATGGACACACACTCACTCCTCGTGCAATACGCCAGTTAGCAATAGGCCTGGTACAATGTGCCACCGTCCCCTGGATCACAGCCATGGGGTTACTACTTTTCCTGCCTTTGGACTTCGGGTACATTCCTGCGAGGGCATTTGTGTCTCAATCACTTTGTGACCCGTCAAAACAGAATAATACTGTGCTGTGTCACAAACGCGGATCGCACTAGTGCGATTTTTATTGTATTTTACATCGGTTGAATTGCGCTGGTGTCGCGGACGAGTTATACGAGGCACCGTCACATTCTAAACATCGCACGCGTATCGAAATGTCTTGCTGTATCGCATGCACCTGGACGCCCTGAGTGGGCCCATATTCGAGCAAGAAAAGAAACCGCTCTGCCCGGGCAGACAAACTACTGGTGCTCCAGACCACACGGTCACATCCCTGCCCGACTGTGCTCACCTTTCCAACCCCGCTGACAACACTCCCTCCCCAATCTCTTCTTCTTCTCCAAACCCCACCTTGCTCATTCTTGTTGCGTAGTCCAGCCACACTTTTGTCTCACGCCGTAGCCATGGCCCGCAAGCGCAATAGCGTAGCTAGTACTGCTGACATGTGCCCGCGGGATCTCAATAAGATCCCGTATATTGCTTGCAACAAGCAGAGGTTTAGGGTCCGTCGGTCCGTTGCCCGTCGGTCGCAAGCCCATCGGTCCGTTGCCCGAAGGAGCGCCTGGGGCGGGAGACGCTTCTTTAGAAGCCCCGCATGATGTCCCAACACACGGACGCCGCGATGCCGACCGGGTTGCCTTATCCAGCATAGTGGACGATGCTGCCTTCGATGGCGACGCTGACGATCAGGATTACAACGAGTGTAACGACGCCTGCGACAACGACGCGGACTTTGGTGAGGAGGAGGACAAGGGCATGTCTGACTCCGAGGATGGCGGTGACGCTGACGAGGACGCCTGCAATGACGAGGAGGCCCAGCCCGCAGCTCCGACTCCACGTCGCGTCCGTGCTACAGCCGCAGCCGGAACCAAGACTGCCGCGAAGGGCGGTGAACCACCTCGTGCCGCTGCCAAGACCCGCAACTTGCATCCTGTGAAGCGGAGCGTATGGTCACCCCGCGAGAATACGATCTTCGTGGCTACACGTTGGTTCATGAAGGACGAGCTCGGGCCTCTCCTCGGGAAACAAGGCTCCCAGTAACTGGCCCGCCTCATCCGCCACCTCGGAGAATTCCGTGTGGGTGCGCGGCGTGAACGCGCTGCAGAAGCAGTGGCGCAATCTCGTTACCATGTTCAAGCAACTTAAGAAGGGGGAGAAGGCGTCGGGCAAGGGGGCGGTGTGCAAGCCCCCCTGGTATCCGTACATGGAGCTCTTCCAGAACAACAAGGCGATAGGCAACCCTCACGTTTTCGACGATGGTGGTGCGGCACATTTCAACGTGCCTTGCGGTTTCGCGATCCCATCCACATCAGCGCCATGCACCTATACGCCGACTTTCACTGGTGCGTTCCGTTTGCGTTTAGGGCAGCTCGTGTGCGCATTTCATTAGAAGCTTTGGATGGAGTACATTATGCAGGTAATACCGGGTACATGATGAGCTACACTATGCACCTTCTAATGCACGCGTGTGGCCATTGTGTGTGCAGCTCCAAGTCCGCAAGATACGCCGACATCAAAGCGCCCAAGGGTGGCAGAGACGGCAACGATGGCCGCCGCCAAGCTGGTGTGCGAGACAATGAAAGGCTGCCACTCGGACGCGATGAACATGCTCAAAGGCCTTGTTCACGCGAGGATGGAGCAGGACGCGCGTATTGCACGCGAACGCGTCGCACCCTCTCCGCCGGCCCGCAACGACATCCCCGTGGACGCGGACCATCCCGCAACACACGCTGCTGAAGGTGGCGACGACGGATGGTTCCGCCGCAGGCAAGCGGGTGACAGTGCCACTAACCCTGATGCGGCCGAGGAGGTGTGGGTTCGCGGCGACGTCGCGTGAGGTATGACGACTCACGAGCCTCGCCCAGCCGCTTGCGCCTTTCCCGCAGATTCGCTTGCGTGCACGGTTCATATGGCTCCCACTTGAACTCTGCTATCGCGCCACGAGTCCAACATGGGTCCCGGTTGCGGGGCAAGTTGGCCCATGGCGCGTTGACGCGCCTAACTGCCCCCATCGTTTCGCACATGTTGTGTAGGATGACGCCACAAGACGCCCCTGCAAGAATGCGCCAGAGCTTGCAATCATTGCGGCCCACGAATAGACGCCACTAGCCTTTGAAGGCGCCGATGCAGCGCTCTACAGCCATGCGCATACCCCTTTGGCAGTAGTTGAAGCACTGCATGTAGTGCGCCATCCCGGCGACAATGTATTCGAGGATGGCTCGGTTTATCCGAAATAAGTCCCTGAACTCCTCCTCTCCCATGCCTTCCAGGTCCTCCAATAGCAGGTGGTACCTCCTCCTGCGAAGACTGGCCCTTCTCTTCCGCTCGGCAGTTCGGTTCGAGCCATGACAGCAAGAGGTCGAGGCAACCTCGTCGGCGAATGCGTCGGCTTCCAACAATCCGCCGACCGACATAGCGACCACGTCCATGAAGATGCTGTAGTAGAACGTCACCCATGCGACAAGCAGTCGCATGAGGAAAGGCACCTCGCGGGGCTGTGCCATGGTTACTAGACAATGGTGCAATGTTGGCCTGTGCTGTTTGATGTTTTGTACTTGGAAGAGATGTTGTGTATGTGCGTTTGTGTGTGAGGTGGTCCAAGCAAAGTCGACTCGCACAAGTTGCAACTTCCGTTACTATGGCAAGCCCCCCACGATACTCGATTCATGCTCACTATTTAGGCACCATGCCCAGCGGGAAAACGGATGGGCTCAATCCAATTGGTCGCCACCAGCAGGACGCGTCCACCTGGCCAAGCCAATCTGTCGCCCTCAGTCGCGGTACATTTGCCGTTTGTGACACAACATTTGGCAAATTTACTGGCGCGACTCGGGAAAAAGGGAATTGAGACACAAGTGTCCCGGCAGGAATGTACCCTTAGCCGACGAGTCAGAGTACCAGATGTTGTGGCGAACGGATCGTCCGATCTAGTGGACGACATGGATGGATCGTTTCCTACATCTCTCGCCAAAAAAATCTATACGATGATGCGTTTCGGGTCAAGAGATATGTAGTTACCTTCGTAAGGCGTGAGCAGCGCATCTCATCGCCATACGCAAAAAGGTGTGCAATGTTACTTTTCAGGTCGCCATGGTGGTCATGAGGGTCGGCAGTGGCATGACGTACCGGAAGCTGCGATTAACTTCCGGGTTTAGTCACACGCGCGTACACCAAGTGTGCAAAGCATGAATTATATTTCAGTAGCGATTATCAGATGGAAGAATGGATAACATGGCCCGACGAAGATGTTCTCACGCTATATGAGGAGGAGTTTCGATGAGAGAGCGAGATCACAAGCATTGTCAGGGCCATGGACTGTACGTAACAGTAAGCCTAACAGTGGCACTGTTCCCAGCAGAAATTTGTCTTGGCGCGCCACCCACGCAGCCTCACCAGTTGACCCATGTTGGTTCACTACATTAACTACCCAAAGCGAGCCCAAAACCAAAGCACCATGCGGTATCCCACCGGTACTCTTTTGCGGATCTCCCTTTCGACAAGTCCCTGTTTTTGATTGGGATTACTGTGACACGTAGAAGCCGTAGAAACGAAATACAGTACAACTACCATTCAAAATCATACACATATGTTTCACATATGTATTTAAAATGAGACTGCCGTGGTGCACATATGTGCAAAGGTATTCACACGCGAATGAAGCGCTAGCAGGCCGCCTACTATTGCTGCTCCCATCCCTTCTGATGCCCACTTCCCTGCTGCTGCCCCTTTCCCTGCTGCTGCCAATGTCCCTACCGCTGCTCCCTTCCTTGCTGTTGCCAATGTCCCTGCTGCAGCTCCATTCCCTGCTGCTGCCCACTTCCCTGCTGCTGCCCCCTTCCTTGTTGCTACCATGTCCCTGCTACTTCTCCCTTCCCTGTTGATGCCCACTTGCCTGTTGCTTCCGACTTCCTTTCTGTTGCCCACTTCCCTGTTGCTGTCCACTTCGCTGCTGCTGCTCCCTTCCCTGCTGCTACCCATGTCCCCATTGCTGCCCCCTTCCCTGCAGCTGCTCCCTTCCCTGCTGATGCCCACTTCCCTGCTGTTGCCCACTTCCCTATTGCTGCCAGTTTATTGCTGCTGCTCCATTCCCTGCTGCCGCCCATGTCCCTACTGCTGCCACTTCCTTGCTGCTGTCCCCTTCCTTGCTGCTGCCCATTTCCTTGCCCCTGCCACTTTCTTGCTGCTGCCCATGTCGCTGCTGCTGCCCCCTTCCCTGCTGTTGGCGGTGACGGCAATTGTCTCTGAACCTATGTCCATGCCGACATATGGTGCATGCATGTACGTTCCCCCAACCCGTGGAACTAGACTAGTTTGAAGGGCAATGTGGTCACGAACTGACCTTTGTCTTCTCCATGCTCGCGCCTCTTCTCGATCCTCACATGTGCGCACGTTATTGTCAAACTTATACACTATAGTCTGTGTAGGCTGTAGTGGGGTAGCTCATATGGGGTACAACATTCTAGGGTTTGGTACTTGTACTCCTCATGCTGCTCAATGCATTCATTCTCGTTCCAATTGTCACATGGTATAGAGCAGGTTCCCTCGTGGGAACTGTTCCTAGGGCCCACCGTAAGATTTTTTTTTTTCCTGCCCGGAGCGCGCTCCGCCCCTGCCCGAGTCGCGCTCCCCTCCCCTCGCTTCCCTTAGCGGCCCCGTCGCGCCGCGCTTCCGGCCCCGGCGCCGCCTCTGCTGGCCCCGGCGCCCCCCTGTCGCGACCCCGCGGCCCCACCCTCGCGTCGCCCTGCGCGGCGTCGTTACAGCCGCCCGCGACCCCGACGCCGCCCGTCGCGACCCCGTCGCCCTTCGCGCCGCCCGCGACCTCGTCGCCGCGGCCGCCTGCAACCCTACCGCTGCAGCCGCCCGCGACCCTGTCGCCGCAGCCGCCCGCGACCCTGCCGTCGCCGCCGCCCGCGACCCTGCCGTCGCCGCCGCCCGCGACCCTGCTGTCGCAGCCGCCCGTGACCCCACCGTCGCCGCCGCCCGCGACCCTGCAGTCGCAGCCGCCTGCGACCTCGTCGCCGCGGCCGCCTGCCCTCCCGTCGCCGCAGCTGCGCGCGACTCCTGTGGTCGCAGCCGCCCGCGACCCCCCGTCGCCCCACCCGTGCGACCCCACCGCCGCCCTTTGCGGCCCCTTCGCCATCCCTTCGCGGCCCCGCCGAGCAGCCGCGCCGCCGAGACGCCGCCGCCGCCGAGCCGCCGATACGTCGAGCCGCCACTGCCGCCGTGCTGCCGAGCCGCCGAGACGCCGGTGCCGACGAGCTGCCGAGCCGCTGAGCCGCCGAGCCGCCGTTCCTGCCGTCCCGGCCCTGTTCCTGCCGACGCGCCTCGGTCCTTCTCGCCTGCCCGGTAAGAGCAGCGCCTCCACCACTGCTCTGCCCTAGCCTGCTGCTCTCACTGCTAGTCTACTGCTGTCATGGCTTCCCCCAGTGTCCTCACTTTTGACGCTGAGGGTCGGGCCATTGACTTTGACGTCTGGGTAGATGACCTGCAGCTTTTCCTACTGAGCGACAGAGCAGACGGCCTCTCCCTTTTTGACCTCACCTCTGGTGCCTCTCCTGCCCCTGCTGCTGATGCTGACCCCACTGTTCGCTCCCAGTGGGCCACACGCGATGCTGCTGCCCGCCTTGCTGTGCGCCGCCACTTGCCGACCTCTGAGCGTGCGCACTTTAGCCAGTACAAGAGTGCTAAGACCTTGTACGACGCTGTAGTTGCGCGCTACTCTTCCCCTGCCACTGCTGCGCTTAGCCGCCTTATCCTACCGTACCTCTTCCCTGACCTCGCCGCTTTTCCCACTGTCGCTGACCTCATTACGCACCTTCGCACTAGTGACACTCGCTACCGCGCTGCGCTTCCTGCTGAGTTCTGCGCCAAGAACCCCCCCCCCATGTACATCACCCTCTACTACATAGTCACCCGGCTCCCTGACACCCTTCGCCCGGTTAGGGACCACTTCCTCTCTGTTTGCCCCACCACCCTCACCGTTGACCTCCTCGAGGAGCGCCTGCTCGCGGCAGAGAAGAGCATAGTCGCAGTAGGTGCCTCTCGTGGTGACCCTCGTACCCCTGTCTTTGAGGGGTGCTCCCCCTCTCCCCTCTTGCCCTCTGTTGCCTCTGCTGCTGCGGCCGACCTCGTTGGTCTTGAGTCGGTCGCTGCGGCGTCTGCCCCTAGCGGGAGACGCCGCCCTGGCAAGGGCAAGGGGGGCAAGGGTGCTGGAGGGGCTGGAGGGGGCGGTGGAGGCGGAGGTGGAGGTGGTGGAGGGGGTGGGGGTGGCGGTGGGGGTGGTGGCGGGGGTGGGGGCGTCGGTGGCGGGACTGGAGGTGGAGGTGGAGGCGGCGGTGGCGGTGGGAGCGGAGGTGGCGGAGGTGGCGGTAGTGGAGGAGGTAGCGGCGG